GAAACCAAGGTGAGAAGTCAGGATTGATGGATGGGAGAGGGCATTATGTATGTGTGCCTCTTACCAGGTGTCATTAACCCAAAGAGGTAGCATAGATGAGACTGTGTTTCCCAGGCTTGGAAAAGGAAGCCTCCTCCAAGAAGTTCTCCCAGAGTAGCTCTTGACTCCCTAGGCTCTGTGTTCTCCCAAGAGAGAAAGTGCCAGCTTACTAATTGGCCCCTGTTCCCGGCCTCTCAGAGGGGTAACAAGACATGCCTGCCTCACCCAGCTAGAAGGTTAGGGTAGGCCCTCCAGGCTGAAGGTTTCTGACCTATGTGATTGAGAAGACATTCTCACAGCTGTGGGAAATTTAGGTTCCATGTGGCTCCCTGGACAACACAGGGTCTATGGGCTAGGGATGGGGCCTCACACAGCACTGGTTTCAAGCCCCAGTTTCCCTACTCACTCTATGGCCTTGGGCCACATCATTTTACATCTCTATGTATGCCTCTGTTTCCTTCTATAAAATGGGGGTAAAAATAGGACCTACCTCTTAGGATGTTGTGAAGCTCACACCATATGAGACACACAGGATGTCAATTCGAATGTGTCTGGAGTTAGTCCTCAGTCAGGCCTGCACCCTCCTTATTGGGGGAGTAAGAACAAAGAAGGGAGCTGGAATTGGGGTGGTGGCCTGGGTTGGAGTCTCAGCAGAGCTTCCTGGGCCCTAAAGACTGGCCCCAACAGGTGGTATATGAGAATGATCATACCCCAGTGGGACGAGGGTCTAGAAGACACTCACCTCACTAACATTTCCTAGGAGCCATCCAGAGAATCTGATTCCCCCCTACCCCACTGTGTGTCTTCTATTAATCACAGCCACCTTTCTCCTTTAGCTTGCCAGCCTGACAAATAGGTATAATTGTCCCCATTTTGCAGATGAGAAAACTGGGATTCAGGGAGGTTGAGTCATTTGTCCAAGGTCACATAGCCATGAACAAAGGAGCTGGGTTTCAAATGCAGGTCTGTGTGGCCACAAAGTTCCAGCCTAAGATCTGTCTGTCTGAGAGAGTTTTGGACCACAGTGGCAGTGGGGGATGGGCCCCCCAGGACGTGGAGGGGAGACGTGGGACAAGCTGGGCCATGTGGTCCCCAGACACACATTCCTTGGCCCCTCAAGGTCAGCGGCCGAGGGAAGCCTGAGCTGTGTGCCGCACATTTGGGTAACTTTAGGCAGGGACAGAGGGGAAGGTCTAGAGTTCGAGTGGGACAGATCTGGGTTCTAATTTGGCTGTCGTTCTCACTGGCTCTATAGCTCCTAAGCAAGTCACTTGAGGTCTCCAGGCCTCCATTTTCTCTTCCATAAAATGGGAAGAAACCCAGTTTCTTCAAGGGTAACATGTAGAAGTCAGACAAGACAAGGATGTGAGCAACCTTTGGAAATAGATTCCTGTCCCCTGAGGGGCCCTTGTCAGCATCTGTTTGTAACAGCAACTGACTCAAGAGCTGTCCAAGGACCCCTGCCCAGGTGTCAGAAGACCCTGAGCTGGGCAAGGTGAGGACAGGTATAACCCCCTTGCCTGCTTCCTCTCAATGTGGAAAGCAATGGAGAGCCCATAGCTTTCAAAGAAGACACAGCTAGCCTCTGAATATATCTGATTCTGCCTCCATCAGACCTGTATGGACCTACCTCATATGTCCCCCTTGTGCAATTGCCTCCATCAAACCAGGCCAAGCTGCCCACTTCCATCGCTAGGCAAACTGACCCTCTCCCTCTGCACACTGCCCTGCTCTAGGTTGTATTACAAGGGAGAAAACGTGGTCTGGCCACCTAAACACCATTTGAAAATCAAACTAGTCTGGCTCTCCCTTCACCCCTGCCCTATTTCTCTTGCCTTCCCCCAGTGCTGGCCAGCCTCCTGCCTCTCTCCCCTCTTCCCTGTGGGTAACCCTGACCTGTTGTTCAAGCTTCCTGGAGTTGCAACACTAACAGCATTGTTTGTCTGATTTCACAATACCTCTGCCTGCCCAGTTCCCCCTGCCCCCCAACATATCCTGGAGCACAGGCCAGATGCCCCAGGTACATCTGCTGCAGGAAGGGGAGACACAAGAGATAGAGCAAGGAACAAATGTCTGAGATCAGATTCTACACTCAAGGATTACCTTGGGCAAGTCATCCTTTTCTTGAGGCCTCAGTGTACTCAACTGTAAAATGGGAGAATTGCATAGGAGTCCTTGAAGGTCCTTCTAGTTCTAGTATTTAATGAATCAAAATCACACAGCAGCAGATTCATTCAAGATTTTACTATCATATCTACCACAGCTGGGAGCTGGGACTCTGGAGACAGCTAATGTGGTCATAGCCCAATGAGGGAGACAAATGTGTAGCCACAATATGGTGTGGTCAGAGGTAGAACACAGGCATGAACTAATCCTGTCCATGGAATCAGGAAAGATTGTCTGAAAAAGGGACACTTGAGTTGGACTTTGGAGGTTGAATAGAAGTTCATGTGCCTAGCATAAGAAAAAACTTGCACACTATGCTGTTCAATATTTGGGCTGCCTCAGAAGTTGGGGGTATCCTGTAACTAGGGTATGGATACAGAAGTACACAAGGCCAGGAATGCCAAGGAGATGGGAGCTTAGCCAGATACCAGCTCTAGTCTTAAATTCAGGGAACCAAAACCCATGAGCTCCTGAGAATTTGGAGTCTGTTGGTGAAGCCCCAGCCCACCCCAAACAGGGGCCAGTGAGCAGGCAGGACTCAGGATTTCCAAACAGATGCGTATGGGGACTCACAGCTGACCCACGTCATACTGACCTTCACATGTAAAGCCAAGGGCTTGAAGTCTCAGTCTTGGGTCACAGGCTTGGCTTACCCCCTCCTAGCTGAGAGACTTTGTCCTGGCCACCGCATGCCTCTGAGCCACACTCAGCTTCCTCATCTGTAACTTGGGTTCTCAGTGGCCACTCTAGCAGTTGTGAGGCTTAAGTGATTTACTGTGTTGTAGGTGGCCTTTGCAAACTATAAACTGTGCTGGACATGGGAGGGATTATTATTGTTGAAATGGTGGTTCCTAACCAGCCCCTTGAGGGGCTGTTTATTTTGTCATCTGGGAAAGCGATTCCCCCAGTGATGTTACAGTAATAACCGTGGGATTCAGGGCACAGGCTTGTTTGCTTGGACCACATGTGAGCTGCGGTAGGCCTCTTACCCTCTGCCCTTCCTTGCCCACCCTCATCCCAATCATCTCAGAACACTTTTACTTGGCACCATGTTGAGGGGCAGAGGCGGCCCCCAGTCTTGGAGAAGGGAGACTCCTGACCTGGCCCAGCCCTGGAACTGGGGCTGACTTAGAAGTCTGCCTGGAAGGGGGCTGCTGGAGCCCCTGACCTGTGCCCACAAGGAGAAGGCCAACATGGGAGCTTCCCTGTCCCGAGCTGTTGGTGGGTGGCAAGAGCCTTTCTGAGAGGTGGCCTGGACAGCTGTGGTAGCCTAGCCAGGTACCTGCTTTGCCTGCCCCAGTGAGGACCGGGGCCACCCAGTGCTTGGCATCCTTTGTTTCTTAGCATCCTCCCTGCACTGGGGCCACTCTGCCTGGCCCATAGGTAGCATGGGACCCTTTGGTGGGGCTTGGGGTGGGGGTGAAAAGTTAGGGGTTTTCAGCCTGTTCCTGCTGGCAAGGGCCCTGCTGCTGGTGCTCTCAGCTCTCTGCTTCCTGTGGCCCCTCTGCTTGGCCGGGCTCTGATTTTGGTGCAGTGCAGACTTTCAGCTTAACGAGACAAATTGATATTCTGTGCCAGCCCAGGGATGGAGCGGCAGGCAGCTCGGGACACTCTGGCAGGCAGTTCAGAAGTGGGCAGGGGGTGGGGACAGGGGAAGGAGGCAGTTCCATCTGGAGCTGCCTCCTGGGGCAATTCCTACCCCTGGCCCCCCATGACCCCCTCCATGCTGACAAGTGCCCTGAGACATGTCCTGAAGGTCCTTCCACCTTCAGTGCCCTCCTTCCAAGAAGGGCACCCCCTCTTGGAGGGGGTGGGGCAGTGGAGAGGGAGGCTTCTAAATCTAAGAGAAGCCCCTTCACCCATTGTGACCTCTTAACCTTGCTCCTAGGGCTGTCCTCCCACCATTCTGTACTTAAAGGGGCAGCAGATCTGCCAGAGATAAGGCAGGAAAAAGTTGGCAGCTGGCTAGGGGTATTCCATTCCTACAGACTCCTCTTTGGGGTTCCCTTGGGTGCTCTGGACATCATCTATCCCCCAAAATGGTCAGCCCCCCAACTCATCGCAGATGTCACCTCAGATTATGTAAATGCATAAGACATATGCAGACATCCCTGCCAGTGGGCACCTGTCAGCAGAGAAATCACCCCTTAAAGGGGTCTTCTGCCAGGCCTGCAGCCCAGCCCCCACCCAAGGTGGGGGTGCACATGGCTGGCCAGTGGCTAGGTTGCAAAGGTAGCTTTTAGATGGCATCAGGGAACTCACTGCAGGCCTTGCAACCACAGATGTGTTTGGTCTGAGTTAAGTCCACTCCTCCCCCCCCCCGTGACCTTTGCCCCTCAGGCATGGGGGTGTCCTGACCAAAAGCGGGGCGGGGGAGGGGGCTGATCCCCTTCCTAGTTACAAGAGGACCCCAGAAAGAAAGGGAGAACTTAGACCAAAGTGAGCAAATCCTCCCCTCTCTGCTATCACTACCCCACCCCTTCCACCACTGGAGGGACCCCTCCCCTCCAGCTCAGCTCCAACCCTACCCTTGCCCTTGACATTCCCTCCTACTTCAAGTGAGCGGGCAGATTCCTGAGACTCTGCCAGCTTTAGCTCTTCATGATCCCACGGGAGGAATTAAAACCGCAAACAACACCGTGGTGGTTCGGTCCACACAACCCCCCTCCCGCCCCCTACTCTCCTACTCTGCTCCCCTGTCCCCCTAGCAGAACAAGCCCTCGCGGAGGCCCGCCCCCGTCCTCCGGCCCCCTCCCCCAGCCTCCGGCGCAGCAGCAGGGGCAGCCTCTGCCTCCCCCGAGATCGCGTTTTGCCGGGGCGATGCTCTCCTAGAAGCCGCGCCGCGCCTCCGCCCCCCGCCCCCCACCTGCTCGGGCGGGATGGTACAGTCTGCAGAGGCACCGGGCACGCTGGCTGGGCTCAGCCGCGGCACCAGCTGCCGCACCGCGATTCCGGGGCTGCCCGCCTGTAAACCATGCCGGATTTGTGCTGATTTTCCTAGCCAAGTAAGTACCGGCATCCCCCAGCATGAGAAAATAAAAAATAAAAAGCACCCCACTCCGCTCTCCCCTTCCTCCCTCACCCATTTTATTTTGTTTCATTTCATTTGCTTTTTCTCAGCGCTGATGGTGGTGGCGGTGGCAGCGTGGAGGGGGTTGCGAGCTGGGCTTGTTTATCTGGCCGCAGCTGAGGCTGCATTAGGAGTTGCTGCTGAGGGAGACACTCGTGTGAGGAGGGTCTGTGTGTTGGAGGGAAAGGCTAGGGTGCTGGGGACACAGGCAGGGAGGCCTGGGACAGGCAGATGCCTGGGGTCTCAGGTAAATTCCAGCAGCCTGTGGACAGCAAATGCCCTCAATGGATGTTACGCAAGGACCAACAAGCTGGTGGCAGGGAGGGGGTGGGGGGGGGGCAAGGTTCTCTTCCCCCTGAGCTGCTGGACCTAGGGAAACACAGAGGACCAAGGGGTACCCCTGCCTGTCTCAGCCAGGGTGCCAGGGAAACAGGCAGCGGGAGGCCCCACGCAGAGGGTCCCCTTGGTGGGGTGGACTGCTGTGTGCTGGGACCCACCAGGTCAAGCCAGCCAGCCCGGGTGTGTGATGGCAGGAACCAGGTCCCTGAGATGGCCAGGATGGGGGCAGGAGTAGCTCGGTCAGGCCATTTTGCAGCAGTCATGCTGGCTGGTGGAGTTGGCACTTTCTGCCTGGAATCCCAGTTCCTCAGCCAGCCTGGGTGGCCTCTGGCTGGGTACTTGGGTACCTGGGGCTCCTCCCTGCCCCCTGCAGGGTCAGAATTGGGAAAGCCAGCAGGGGGCCTCTGGACTCCCCAAAGGTGGGCTGCTGTGGGCACACACTCCTTGCTAGCCAGGTGGCCATTCCACACAGCCTGTCCTCGTTCAGCAGGTTGTTTGGGGAGGGGTCTCTGTGGCTGGCCTGCCCATGACAGGCAAGGGCCCCCAGGGTCTCGGGGTCCCCATGCAGAGGCCCTGCCGGGCTCGACCTTCAGAAGGATAAGTGGCGAGCTGCACCAGCAGAGGGTCTTGGTGTGATGCTGCACACGCCTGGCCCAGTGCATAAGGGGCTCCTCTCCTCACCCGCATTGCTCTCTGAATTGCCGGGAGGAAGCAGAGCTGATATTTGGGGCATTTCCTGGAGTGGCGGGCGCCATCCGGAGAAATTCTCCTTTGACGTGTGCAGTAGGAGGGGGCTTGGAGTACAGACTGCCAGGGCTTCCGCCTGTTAACTTCCTTGAAGGGGCAGCAGCAGGTTTGGGGCTGTGACTTGTGGGTGGTCCAGAAAAGACGCTGATGGCCCATATTATTTAGCCACCTTCATATGTACTGTCCCATTCTCATCAGGGTCTATAACACATCCACAGACTTGCACAGATGCATGTATACAAATATAGTGCACATTGTAATGCAGTATATGTTTCAATCATAGACACACATATGGAGTACCCATATAGTACACTGTGTGTTCCAATCATAGACATTCATATAGAATACCCATGCCCACATATACACCCCACCACATGGGAATACAGCTCACATCCCTGAATACCACCTGCAAATACAGCATGCATGTGAATGCAGCCTGTATTCACACACCCATACCTGAGAATACAGCATGTCCACACATGCATGTAGCACTAACACAGGAATGCAGTGGGTTGCACATGGGCAAATCGGCCTGCATGTAGTGCCCTACAGCAGTCATAAATGTGACGTGTGCCCTCTGAGGGCTGGCCCCAGTGTGAAAGAGACAAGCACACATGTGTGGGGTCCCGAATGCCAGCTGCGTGCATGTCCACTTATTGGCAGACACCTGGCATGCTGGAATACACCCACAGGTGAACGTAGGTTGCACGTGTACGAAGACAGCCCTGGCACACAGGTGCAGCACCTTTGCGGATGCTGTGTTCACACCCCTGCCCCGAGCACCCTCAGCCTCCAGGCATCTCGTGGAATTGAAGGTGCCTCCAGGCACTGGGGAGAGGATTGCCCCTGAGGCACTGCCCTGTGAGTGCAGAAGGGCACTGGCCCGCAAGCGGCGGCTGCAGCCCCACAGAAGCCTGAGGGGAGGGCCAGCCCAGGTTTCCAGGGAGCTGTGATTGGGTTCAGCAAGGCCATCTTGGGTTATTGATGTTCTGCAGGAAAGGCTGCCAGTGTTGGAAAGGAGACAGGAGGGGGTGGGTGCAACTGCTTTCTATGGTCCAGACAACCAGGACCCCACAGGCCCCTTTCTCTGGCACCAGGAAACCAGCACACTGGTATGGGATCTCTGAGAGATGGCACCCTGGATCCTCCAGCCTTCTCCAAAGTCTTCTTTAGACAGAAGGTCAGAAAAGCCTGTGGCTTATGCTGCAGAAACACTGAAATGCTGGGCCCCTCCCTCTGTTCTCCTACTGCCCCCTTTCCCTTTCTTCCCACCCGCACAAGTATAGGTCAGGGAGATTTGGGTAAATAATAACCCAGCAAGCACTCCCTGAGCAAATTGCTATGCACACATCGCTACAGTGGGCCTTCGCATAGCCTCGTGATTCCCATGCCACAGATGAGGAAGCTGTGCAGAGAAAGGAAGGCATCTACCCAAGGTCACACAGCTGGAGCATGGCAGAGATGGAAGGCAGGCCAGTGGGCTCCCTGCCTGCCTCTTGGAATCTTCCTTCCCCTCCTGTGTGAGTCTAATCCAATTTGAGGTGCCAACATCTTGGGAAACAGCAGGCCAAAAACGTGATATTTTTGGTGGGGACCAAAAATATCTAGACCCTTAAGAAAGGGACTAGAGCAGGGGTGTCAAACTCATTTTCACCACGGGCCACATTAGCCTCACAGTTGCCTTCAAAGGGCCGAATGTAATTTCAACTCCTTAACAGTTAAGGAGTAGTTACATTTATACAGTCCTAAAATTATTTCGGCCCTTCACAGGATTGATGGCACCTAGAAAGCCAAATGCAGATGTGTACACTCTAAGGTTATCTGGCCTAGGCCTATTTATTAGAGGGAAACTAAGGCCCAGCCAGGTCCAAGGTCATATTGTGCTCTCGGGAGAACAGGGAATCTTGCCATTCTCTCTCAGGTCCCAGGCAAGAAGCAGCAGCAGCCTGTTTGTGTCCCTGATTTTCCCCAGATATTTGACTCCAAGTTAGGAGTACATCGGGCCCAGCCTCTACTCCTGGCCAGCTGTGTGACCTTGAGCAAGTCACTTTGTTTTTCTGCACCTCAGTCTTTTCATCTGTAATTAGGGCTTGCCTGTCCTGCCCTGCCTCAGCCCACAGCTGTCTGGGAGCCTTGAGCACTATAGAAGGCTATGCACAGAGGAGTGATTGGCACCAGGACCGGGGCCAGAGCAGGTGAGCCTCTTGCTGCTAAGGTCAGGAGGGAAAGCAAAGGGATAATCTCTGGGCTGGTGGATATCAAGCATTAGTGGACATAAGAATCACCTGGTATGGGGCAGATTTTGGTCCCCTACTGATGCAGAAGGTCTTGAGGGCTGCATTGTCACAGATGCCCCAGGGTTCGTATCTCCATAGCTCTGGACCCCAGGAAGCCAAGGTGACTGAGAAGGGGCTTGGGAGATCTCATAGGCTTACAGAATTGGGGTGACCTGGGCATCATGCTCTTCACCCACTCTGGCCACATCTGAAGAAACTGAGGTCACCTGGCAAGTTGGTGGCAGAGTGAGACTAAAACTCAGGTCCCCAGCCCTCCAGTCCTCTATCCTACCCCTAGACCCAGGCTTCACCCTGCATGGTTAAATCAGGCCCTTCTGGGGGCAGTTCAACCTTCAAATCCAAAATGAGGCTGTATTCTCAGTAGTGTGGGTGGGAGGGACACTCCAAAGAGACCTACTAGGCCTTCTAGTTGAGTCCTGGTAAAGCCTGTCCCAACCATATGACAGTGAGGACATGGTTCCTCTTCTGTAAACCCTAATCTTTCCTTTCCTAGAAGGGGAATAGATTAAAAGCAGGATGTTGGAAAGATTTTAAGTAATGTGTGTGAAGCAGCTGGAACACTATGAGCTCAGGGTCAAGGTAGGGAATACTAGGGGACCCTGAGGTTTGGGACGCAGCCCCTGCTGGCCTCCCTTAGTGGAGCTCTCTAGTGAGCACGTGCTGGGTGCCACATGCATGCACACAAGGTGGCGGGGGTGTGGGGAGTACATGGGCTTCCTCCCCTGGCCCCGCCTGAAATATACAGTGAGGTGTGGGCAGCAGGGTGGGTCTCTGGCTAAAACAGTGAACCTGCAGTAATTCATTTCTCGCTCCCACTGGGAGCCTCAAAGAAGAAACTAGGGAGAATGTTCCCCTGGACAGAGTCAGTTGGATGCCTGTAAGAGCTCGCAGTAGATGAGTGGAAAAGATGGCAAGGGCCCGGCATTCACAGTGGTAGGATGGCACCTCACTTCACCCATCTGTAAAATGGATGATAATAGTACCCACCTCTCAGGCTGTCATGAGAGGCAAGTGGGAGAAGTAATGGACATAAAGTGCTGAGCTCAGGGTGTGGCATGTATTTGTGGTTCAGTGAATGGAAGTTGTTAAGTCCATGAATCAGGAAGTGTTAGTTCAGTAGCTATCTCTGCCAGTTAAGGGTGCCCTGGATGAGTCGCTTTGCCTCTTCAGCCTTGGTTTTTGATCTGTAAAATGGCTACCCACTTCATAGGGCTGGCCTATGACAGCCATAAACAATAGGTAACACTTCAGCAGCCACCCTGAGAACCTGCTGGAATGTGCCATGACTTCACCATGGTCTCTGGTTGGGAGCCCTGAAAGGGATGGAGGGAGTGTTTTTAAGATCTTGGAAGCATCATGCACAATCCAGGAAACCTCTGAAGGGTCAGAGTGGAGGGCAAGATGGCTGGGCCTGATGGAGGTGGGAGTGGGGACCAGGGCTGGTGTCTCTGAGACTACAGAGGTCTCCACAGATGGGGGAGAAGCCCTTTGGTCTGAAGATCAAGAGAGCTGGTTCTGGGCCCAGCTCAGTCACTGGTGGGTGACCTTGGGC